ATCCGGAGACACTGTAGTGTACACGTTCAACATAATATGTATATGTGTGTAAACGTGTAGGCGTGAGACTACAGTGTATATATTCTCGAATCAGATGTCAACATAACCTCACCAAATTTTTACAATAAATATTTAATTATTAACGAAACGTCAACACTTTATACATTCATTTATTATTTTGTTTATCAATTGTTTCCATATAACACTAAAAATTATTTCTATCTATCAATTATATCATACTTTTCAATATCTCAAATTTTTGCTTGCTCAGTTTTCCGATTCCACAAAAGATCTTATTCATATATAAATATATATGTAGCAAGCTATTTGATTTTATTAATTTCGGATTTCGGTGGAATTTTTATCTTTTTAAAGATTGTTGACTTGAATGCTTGTCTTTTAAGCCATATTTTCATTTACTTATTTTCAAAATTTTTGGTTTGGATGCTTGTCTTTTAAGCCATCTTTTTTATTTATTGCAACTTGAGCCAGCAGATAGTTGGCAATATTATCTCAAGGCGTCTAAGCAGATAGACACCTTATGTTGAGAATATTGGTATGGCGTTAGGGATGCAACATCGCTCATAAAAAAAGCGATATTAGAACCTCGATATTTTCGAAAGTGAAACATCGATTTAAAAAAAGGGTTATTATAGTATAAATGAATACATGGTTGATAATAACCGCTGGGAATGAGGTGGTCGCTTCCAAGCAGTTTCTAAAATAAATTTTGTAAATAGTTTGTAATCATTTTGTATTGTAAAATTTACTTAAAAAAAAGTCCCGCTGGGTCTTTTTTTTAAGTAAATTCTTGCTGGTTCTTCCCAGGACAGAGGGTTTTATCGAACCAGTGTTAAAGTAAAAAATGACTTTCAATAAGAATTACTCATGTAATGGATATTGAATAAAAAATTATTCTATTCTATTCTACTCTATTCTAAAAACATCAAAGTATATGAATAGAATGTTACTACATTCTATTGACGATGGAGCTATTACTCAAATGGGATCACTCTTTCTCAAAACTAATTCTTAATTAACTAATAGCAATAGAGGTGGAGCAATTTTGGATTTTTCTGGAGCACTTAAGGAGCAATTAATTGGCATTTAGTTTTATTTTAAAAAGTAGATATTTTATGTTTTATAGCAAAATAAAATTTTTGATACTTAAATTTTTAAAAATTAATTATAAATCAACTAATAGCAATAGAGATAGACCAATTTCGGATTCTGCTGGAGCAATTAAGGAGCAATTAATTGATATATAGTTTAATTTTAAAAATTAGATATTTTATGTTTTATAGCAAAATTAAATTTTCGATGATAATTTTTTTTTAATTAATTCTAAATTAACTAATAGCACAATAGAGGTGGAGCAATTTCGGATTCTACTGGAGCATTTAAGGAGCAATTAGTTGCTTACAATTTTATTTTAAAAAGTAGATGTTTAATAGCAAAATAAAATTTTCGATACTCAAATTTTTTAAAAATTAATTATAAATTAACTAATAGCAACAGAGGTGAAGCAATTTCGGATTCTGCTGGAGGCATTTAAGGAGCAATTAAATGGCATACAGTATAATTTCAAAAAGTAGATATTTTTTGTTTTATAGCAAAATTAAATTTTCGATACTTAAATTTTTAAAAATTAATTATAAATTAACTAATAGCAATAGAGGTGGAGCAATTTCGGATACTGCTGGAGCATTTAAGGAGCAATTAATTGGCATACAGTTTCATTAAAAAAAATAATGTTCTACGCTAACTTCCTTCTGGTGTTTTGTATACTGGCATTTTACTAACTACTCTAGTCATGAAATTTTTTAAATATTTGAATTCAGCTGACTTCACTCCGTCTACAACAGCTATATTCATATCGTAGTTTTTCAGACGCCAGCGCTATTGTGGTAGGTTTTGGAACCTCTATTTTCAGTATATATAGTGGGAAACTTTTTCAACTTTTGCACCTTATAAGATGGTTCTCCTTCTACTCTACACTCCATAGTTTCACTCCACAGTTCACACCACTAGTAGATTATACTTAGTCTAGTTACGCCTTAGTTACTCGACTCCACCGAATCAGTAATTCATTCTTGGGGCGACGTATACGCTTTTACAACAACTGGAATTTTTTAAATATACTAAATTTTACCTGCTTAAAGTTCAAAAACTTTATTTAACTAAGTTGGTATAAAAAGGGTTATTATAATAGTAAGGAATTTATGGGTATAAGTAACCCCTGGGAATGAAGTGATCACTACCATACTATTTCTAATTTGTTGTGTAGTTAATTGTGTACATGATTGTAAGATGTTATTTAAAAAAAAGTCCCGCTGGGTTTTCTTGCTGGTTCTTCCCAGGACAGAGGTTTTTTTCCGAACCAGTGGTAATCAAACAAAAGAGTGACTTTCAATAAGTATCATTTATAATCTATATTGAATAAAAAAGTTTCTGTTTCTGTTTCTACCGAATGTCTACACGATACTTTTCCACTTGGATACTCTGGTACAGTTGTAAAAAATATTTAATTGTTAGTAGAGTTTTATTCAGAGTTAAATTGAAATTCAAAGTTATAGTTTTATACCTAAGTTGACTGTATAATGAATGGAGACTTTATTATATAAAAAACATTACTATTGTTATGAAATATAAAGTAAGAAGAAATATATAAGTAGCTATTTAATAAAATCTTAAAAAATAAACAAAACCCGGTCTCGATACGTTAAATTTTTCGAGAGTTATCGTGACCACGTAAAAAAAATCTGAACGTCCACGAAAATTTTTTTCAGTTTTCTTAAAATAGCAAAATAAAATTTATTTGTACAACATATGAGATAGATTGATTTAATTTTCTTCAAATAAATCTACTCATCTTATGAGTGCAAACCAGTTGTTGTAGAGGTAGTTAAAGAGCAAAAAAATTTATTGAACTTGACGTGTTGAGAGTAAAACACAAACTCAACCGCATCGCGGTATGAGGTGTGCGATATTTGAAAAAAAAAGAAGAAATTGTGTACTTTACAAAAATATATGAAATCCGAACAAAAACTGTTTCACTGTAAAGCATCGCGCCAAGTGCACTTTCAATATATGTGCATTATACTTTATAGTACGAGCATAACTCAAAAAAGTTATAAAAAACGACTTCCAATGTCAAGTTGGGTGATCGATACTCTTAATCATGCACACCAAGTTTACACCATTTTATTATTATTACTTTTTTCAGCAAAATTTTTTTTCGGTTATCTAAAACGGTTATATACTTGTTTTTTTATTTTATAATTTTTTGTAAAAATGTAATTATTTTTGTAACTATAGTTGAAAGTGTACTTGGCTCGATGCTTTACAGTGAAACTGTTTTTGTTCGGATAAAATTATTCAATAAGTCCTATTTCAATTACATTTATTTAATTATAATATTTATGCGATTTCAGTATAGGACTATAGTCCTGTGTGTTTAGCTATAGTCTCTTATATCCGGTGCTGATATATTGGTAAACACACTCGGTGATAACGGCTGCCCACATTCACGGCCAAATGACACGATTCCTCTGGCTATACCGTCGATTGCACCAACTCCTCCAGAATCACCCTAAAAGGAGAAATTAAAAAATCTCAAAAAAATGAAAACCTACATTTTACTTCTTGCTAGGCACAGGCCTCTTCTTATTTTATTAATTTCTTGCTTGTTTGGAGAATGGAAGAGTCCGCCTGCACTGTCCTAATGCGTATTGGCGGACTTATTATGCTCGAAATATTTCAAAAATTTTTATTGTGCGCGGTCATTTAATTTTTTTACGCGCCAAGCGTCAGGGGCCGTACAGGAAGTTGCCCGATATTCCTAATGTAAAAAATGATATCTTTTTATTTTGTATGCCGGCTATGCAAATCATATTTTGCAATTCCACTTTTATACATTTATTATTAATCCTTTTTCAAAATTGTTTACCGGTTTCTTATATATAAAGGTTCAGAATTATGAAATTAAAAGTAAAATAATTTAAAAATAAAAATTTTGTACAACCGACTTCAATATAAATTATTAGGACTAACTCAAAAATTATTAATACTATCAAACTTTGATCAAATTTATATCGGACCACGTGAGAAGCACCAGCTTTCCAATAAAAAAAAGGATCATTGAAATTGGTTCACCCAAAAAAAAGTTATGAGGTAACACACACAAATAAAAACATACAGTCGAATTGAGTACCTCCTCCTTTTTAAAGTCGGTAGAAAAGGTATTTGTTTTATTTGCATAAAAATACATAATTCTATCAAAAGAGATTAAAAAATCACACCTCTCAATACATTTTTTTCGCCTCCTTTTACGTGGCAAAAAAACAGGTTAAACAACCGGTAACATGCAGTGAAGTTCGCTTATCACGCCACATTACAGCCTTATCTTTAATCTATGTTGTTCAAAGGTGAGAAACAAACAGCTTTACTTTTTAATTTAATAGTGAGTCGTGATTACTTGCCAAATGGGCAAACGAGGTTGGCTGACACTCGGGCATGCACAAGCTGTCAAACTCATTGGGTTGACATAACACTTGAGGGGATAGAAAATCCCCCCCAGAAACTACTACTACTGATTTAATGTATAATTCATCAATTCATTGTCGACTATTTATTTAAATTATACATGGTAGTGACATGCTGCAGCGTTATATATATATAGCTGCATTATGGCTGTAACACGTGTGGGTTGGTTTTATCGAGGATGGACCACGCTACCACAGAATGCTGGCTTGAAATAGCAGCAAAATGCTGCTGTATAATAATTATTAGTAGGTGTTTTGTTTGGTTGGTAACGAGAACCAGAAACCCTTTTAATTGGTAACGAGGCCATTCATCTTAGTCCTAAGGTTTGATAACGCATCTGCATTTCGATTCTTAATCAAGGAAAAATAAAACTGTCTATGGGCATAAACATTCACTACCATCATATGTGCTGTGTGTTAGTTTATCACCTTTACCTTTTTAAAGAAATAATTTACCTCACACGTGTTTGCTCTGCCAAAGAAGAAATCACCATCAGCACACAGCATATTTTTGGTGATGTCTAGCACAAAATATGCAACTTGACACAACATGTGATTGACCACCGTTAAATTGACTGCCATTAGTCGTTCGAGAATCTGAGGAGCACCTCGCTGAAAAAATAAACACTTTGTAAGTTATATTAACAAACTGTATTTTTAACATCCGAACATTTGAGTGTTTTGCAACAGCCCTGGTCACGAACAGGACTGAGGGATTTCACGTCTCGATGTCATAAGTAGCTGTGTGCCACTAGTCCCCATGATCCAATGAGGTTGAGTCCCGATATCATAGTAGTGACCATGGGTGCTGCAAAGCACTCGAAATATCGGAAAACTTAAATTAAACGCAATAAAATTAGTTAATATAGATTTATTTAATCTGTAGTGTTTGAGTAAGTAATCATAATTGATTTAATCCAACGGATCCGTAGGCTAAAGTGGCAATGAGTCGATGTTTTCCAAGTCATTCATTATATAGAGTAGCGAACAGACAAATAGCGATCGATAATTTTAATTACGCAATGGATGAAGATGGCTCACGACCATGCCTTGTGACAATCTTTTGATTCCTCCTAAGTTTCTGATGGGCTGTAATAATATTGGAGATGATTAATTTATTAACATTAAATACAAGCTTCTTCCCGCGACTTCGTTGGCGTGAAATAGTTACTTTGGGAATTTTTAATGTTTTAGGATATTTATTTTGCAAATAATACATATACAAATTGGTACGATGTCACTTGTTCAGTGTCCATAACATTGTCTACTGAGGTACTTGACAACTTCCCCCTCCACGTCGGACATAATTTGTTCGTTTATCTGACCTACTGTCTCATTTATCGGCACCAAAACTGTCCTTTCACACAACCATTCTCGATTGCTCATATTTATTTTTAGGTGAAGATAGAAATTATTTTTTAAATCATCTGTGTTATCAACAATTTGACAGAATTCACATCTCATAGTAATCATGCCGTTACTGTCTGTTGGCATACAATCTTCTCCGATTTTTAGAAGAAAGAGATTTCATTTTGCACACCCGTTATACACACGCTTTCAAACAGGCATTTGTTTCACCTGCTTGTGTACCTCTAGTTATAATTGAAAGAGTCTGTCTAAAATCACCAAATAAAAGTACCACTGTCTCTCCCATGCTACCCTGGTTGCTCTTGATATCTTTCATTGTGCGATCTAGTGCTACGATTGCTCTTTTGTGGCACATCGTACATTCGTCCCAAACCAACATATTACACTGCTCCAACATTTTTCTGCTTTTGCTAATGTCACAAACTGGTATTAACTCATGAGCTAAGTAAGTTCAATGACAGTTTAAGAATTGACTGCGCTGTTTGTCTCTTACTGAGTATTCAGCTATTTCAGAGGAAGCTACTACACCAAAAACTACTTTATGTTTCCAGATTTGAGCTAATATTAAGTTTAAACGAAAGGTTTTTGCCAGTGTCTCATGGAGCATCTAAAAAGAACAAACCACCATTGACACTGCCAAGTTTTTGAATAACTGTGTCATAAACTAATCTTTGTTAAAGATTCAAAAGTGAAAGAGTACTCGTAGATGCGACAGTTGTAGTGTAGTAATAGTTGTACTTGTCGTTTCATATTCGTCCGTACGTTATTCACTAGGGGGCGCACTGAAAACTAGCTTCTTTGATAATAACACGAAATTATGCTGAGTTTAGCCCTTTTATACCAAACTCACACACATAATAAAGCTTTGATTGAATTGAATTAATTTTATTTACGAGTAGGATTTAGGTCCTTTCGGTCTGTAGTTATAATCTATAATATCATTTGTAACATGTATTTTGGTGTTTGTTATAATAAATAATTTTTCTTTCTTTCTTTCAAATATACGTATAGTAAACATATACAGATTTGTTTGGAATTTCATCCCCTATTTTATCCTCACACAAGTCAAAACTTCTAAAACGCTAGAACATATATTTATTTATTTCTCATCTAGTTTCTAAATACAAAGTTTCATGGTCTTTATCTTTGACAATGACGAAATTCCATACAAACTTTCATTCTTTCGACCCCTTCAAGCCTCTTTCCGCAATGAAAGGTAACCTATCTCATTTCCCAAAGTCTAGTCTATCTCTATTCAAAATCATATCATAATTGGTTTAGTGGTTTGGCGTGAAAACGTGCCAGACAGACAGAGTTACTTTTGCATTTATAATATTAAGTAGAGAAGTAGGGACTATCGTTATATCCATCACAAGTCTTCTGCTTAAACTAGACTTCCCACGAAAGGCCATCTGCATCTATCGACCCCATGCATTTATTATGTTAGTGCTACACCCTACTTAGTGTAAGTTTGTTTCTTTCATATTGTTTACACAGCAGAATTTTAACGGTTTAAGAAAACTCTTGGGCAAAGACCACCTTTCATAACTGAAAGGTCTTTAGGGCAATAAAAAAATGCAAAATAGTGGACGATATGGATGACAAGCTCGTGAAAACTGTCCATGTGATCGGAGCCAAGTTCTGTAACACCTGTCGCCAAAGTACCCAATTACACTTTTAATATCATGGCTGTTAAACCGAAAATTAATATGATTCAACATATATGACAGTATACAGGCACCTGAACAGACAGATCTCCAAATGCATGTGGCAAAAATTACGCAACTTTAATACATCTCGTATTGAAGAAGTGATCAAGCGAAACCAAGGCTTTAAAGTCCTTCTGCCAGAAAGAGCCAACTGTCAAAGTTGAAAAAATATGGTAGCATAGATTCCGGGACACTTGTAAGTGTGAGTACCGATTCAAGACAAGTCTTATCCGACACTATTCCTGTGTCAGTCTAAGCGAGATTAGAATGGCTCTCCAACAACTTAAAAAGGCAAAACCTCGGGTTGGGATGGAATTGCACCGGATCTTCTGAAAGCGGGTAAAAAACTGATACTAAAAATCCAAAATCTCTTCAATTACGTCCTCCGTGGTGGCACTCTTCCGAAGTCGCGGAGCAGAAGTGTGGTGGTCTTGTTTTTCAAGATAGGAAATAAGGCTCTATTAATGAACTATAGATCGATTTCGCTTCTGAGACGCGTCCGCGTGCTGTTATCGAGAGTTATTATTACGAATCGTCTAGCACGCAGACTCAACAACTTTCAGCCTCCGAACAAGCCGTTTTCCGCAAAGGCTTTAGTACCACAGCCACATATATGCCCTTCGGCAAATTGAACAGAAATTTGAAGAGTACAATCTCCCACTTTATCATGCGTATGTGAACTATGAAAAAGCCTTTGATTCCGTGGAAAGTTAGGCGGTGCTACATACTTTCAGCGGTCCCAAGTTTCTTTACAAAGTGAATTGAAAATAATCTAATAATTAATTAATAGTGTTATAAGTATTCTTTAAACTTAATTTGTATATACTTTTATACGTGTACGTGTGTGTAAATATCTGGATCATCTACCTACTTTTTTATTCAATGGAGAACCTGTATTAGCATAGCTTATTGATAAGACGAGTCGTAAGAAATTTGTAATATTATAGAGTTTTAAAACCTATCTACATATGCATAAATTCAATTGAAATTTCTCTCTGTAATATGGAAATAATTGTCGTTGATCGAGCTTAGGGGGTTATTTGCATGCTACAAGACATGAATAGCCATTTCTGAAATTTTTATTTGTTTGCCTGTCTGTTCGGATTAATATTCAGAAGAATAAGGTTGGACAATGGGTGAGATTCATGTTCAACAATCAACTTTGACAGGCTGATGATGAAGAAGAAGATACATTTCATGAAATGATTTTTATTCAATGCGCAACATTCGAATTGATATTACTGTCATTATTTTCAAGCCCTTTTTTATAGTTCCATACATAGTAAAGGAATGATTTTATTCCGTGGATATTCGCAAAACAGTTTAAGAATAATGAGAACTATATTAAAAAATAATAAAACCTGAGTGCGTCCCCATCCGCTCGCGGTAATAACTATTCCAGACTTCAAAGTTAGTCCTTTTGGTGGTAACTTTATAGGTTGAGTGCAGGAATTAAACTGGATTGGCTTAGCTGTCTTCATGACAGCCACATCTTTTTCAAATATTGGTTTGTTGTATTCCGGATGAATAGTTATTTCTATTAATGGTAGGATGGTACCATTTGTATGGAAAGTACTGCCTGAACTAACAATTACATTAGGCGGATCGGCGCTGAAACATTAATTATTTTTTCGTAGTCATATAAAGTCTATAAATAAAGACAAGTATTTCTACATCTGCGCCCCCTTTCCCTAAGGAGTGATCGGTTCCGATACGGCAGAAAGGCCCTCCAGGCCAAAGCCAGTCCCAGGTGGTGTTTAATGGGTAGGCACTTAGGTTTCATAGTGAGTCCAACATAACCACGCAGCCGGCTGCGTGGTATGCTTAGAGCATTCACCACCTCCCTCCCCCGCTTCCCGGAGGGTAGCCCTTTACTTTGCTTCTGGGCGCAAAAAATTCATCATCATTACAGCCCTTCACAAGTCCACTGCTGAACATAGGCCTCCCCCAAAGAATGCCACAAAACACGGTCCTGAGCCACCTGCATCCATCGACTTCCTGCATGCCTTACCAGGTCGTCACTCCATCTCGTGGGGGGACGCCCTACACTTCGCCTACCGGTACGAGGCTGCCACTCGAGAACCTTTCTTCCCCATCGGTTGTCGGTTCTTCGAGCTATATGGCCGGCCCACTGCCACTTCAGCTTACTAATCCGTTGGGCTATGTCGGTCACTCTGGTTCTACTGCGGATATCCTCATTCCTAAGTTTATCACGCAGAGAAACTCCGAGCATAGCCCTCTCCATAGCTCGCTGAGCGACCTTGAGCTTCCTCATACGGCCAGCAGTGAAGGACCACGTCTCAGTTCCGTAAGTCATCACTGGCAACACGCACTGGTTGTACAACTTCGTTTTAAGGTTTTGAGGTATGTCTGACGAGAAGATGTGTCGTAGCTTCCCGAACGCTGCCCAGCCGAGTTGAATCCGTCGATTGACCTCTCGGTCGAAGTTGGACTTACCTAGTCGGACTATTTGTCCCAGGTAAACATACTCGTCAACAACTTCGAGCTTAGTGCTCCCAACAACTACCGGCATAGGTGTGACATGGACATTAAACATGATCTTTGTTTTGTCCATGTTCATCTTAAGACCTATCCGTTGGGAAACACTATTGAGGTCATTGAGCATAGTGCTTAGGTCCTCCAGCGATTCTGCCATAAGGACTATATCGTCGGCAAATCGAAGGTGAGTGATGTACTCGCCATTGATGTTGATACCGTATCCTTTCCAGTCCAGAAGCTTGAAAACGTCTTCCAATGCAGCGGTGAAGAGTTTCGGGGATATGACGTCACCCTGTCTTACACCTCTCTGCAATTGGATAGGTTTCGTACTCTGGTTCTGTACTCGGATAGCCATCGTAGCCCTACTGTACAAGCACTTCAACACTTCGATATACCGACAGTCAACTTGGCACCGCTGAAGGGACTGCAGCACCGCCCAAATTTCGACGGAATCAAAGGCTTTCTCATAGTCCACATACGCCAGACATAGTGGCAAATTGTACTCTTCGGACTTCTGTACAACTTGCCGAAGGGTATGTATGTGGTCTATGGTGCTAAAGCCCTTTCGGAAGCCGGCTTGTTAGGGAGGCTGGAAGTCGTCAAGTCTGCGCGCGAGACGATTCGTAATGACTCTCGAAAACAGCACGTAGACGCGACTCAGAAGGGAAATCGGTCTGTAGTTCTTCAAGAGAGCGTTGTCACCTTTCTTGAAGAACAAGACCACCGCACTTCTGCTCCACGCCTCCGGTGTAATGCCACCATGGAGGACGGAATTAAAGAGCTTCTGAAGGACTTCAAGTACCGGTCTTCCACCCGCTTTCAGAAGCTCCGCTGTAATTCCATCCTCGCCTGGGGCCTTACCGTTTTTAAGGTGCTGGAGAGCCATTCTAATCTCGCTCAGACTGACATCCGGGATATCTTCGGAATAGTGTCGGATGAGACTCGCTCTTGGATCGTTACTCACACTTGCGTGTGGCTCCAACGATGATGTGTACAGCTGCCCATAGAACCTCTCAATCTCACTCAAAATCTCAGCTGTCCCGGAAACGATGCTGCCACATTCTGTCTTCAGCTTTGACAGTTGGCTCTTTCTGGCAGACAGATCTCTGGCAAAGACTTTGGAGCCTTGGTTCCGCTCGATCGCTTCTTCAATACGAGCTGTATTGAAGTTGCGTAAGTCCCGCCGCATGCATTTGGAGATCCGTCTGTTCAGATGCCTGTATGCTGTCAAGTCTGTTGAAGAATGTAGCTTCATCTCCCGTCTAACAGCCATGAGATTAAGAGTGTGATCGGAGAGTTTTTGTGTTCTTCTGCGGCGGGTCTTGCAGAACTTAGCTCCGACCGCATGGACAGTTTCCACGAGCTTGTCATTCATATCGTCCACTTCATTGCAGTCTTCCAGGCACTGAAAACGGTTTTGTAATTCGAGCTGAAAGGTTTCGGGACTTTGGAACAGAGCACGAGGGGGACGGAGCGTTGACTTCATTAGACGAGACCTCTCCAACTTAACGTTTAGGTTCAGTGTGCCTCTAACCATTCGGTGATCGCTACCAGTTTTCACCCTCGCGATCACGGAGACATCACTGAACAGTTGTCGTCTGGTCGTCATAATGAAGTCAATCTCATTTTTTGTGGAACCGTCGGGGCTCGACCAGGTCCACTTCCTGTGGGGCCGCTTCTGGAAGAAAGAGTTCATCATAAAGAGTCCCTCTTTCTCCATGAAGTCGGCCAGCTGCTGGCCCCTTGGGTTCCGTTGCCCTATTCCAAATTTCCCTACTTTCAGCTCACCGTTCTCTCTTGTGCCTAGTTTTGCATTGAAGTCTCCCATTAACACCGTATATTGGGTTTTGGAGGAATGCATGGCTCTAGAGATATCCTCATACATTTCCTCGACCTCCTCATCGGGGTGTGCCGAGGTTGGTGCGTAAACCTGTATGACCTTCAGCGAATACCGTTTGGTGATTCTGAGTATAAGGTACGCAACCCTCGTCGACACACTCACGATCTTTACAACGTTGTTAACGAGAGACTTGTGGACGATAAATCCGACACCTCCTTGGTACAGATGGTCGCCCTCCCGGTGATAGAGCAAGTTGCCGGATTCGAGGATTACCGTGTCCTCCCCCTCTCTTCGGACTTCGGATAATCCTATAATATGCCAGCGCAACTTGTCTATCTCTTCTTCCAGCTCCACGATCTTCTCGTCAGTCCTCAGGGTGCGTGCGTTGTACGTTGCCAGGTCGAGTCGTCTAAGGTGGCAACCGAACCTCCACCGGAGATTCTTAGCACCCCCTGCCCCGCCGTTACCATGGTCGCCACCGTAGCCAGGAATAGCGGGGCCGCCGGGGACTGGGGGCCGTTTTTTTGTTACTGTCATTCATAGGGGGGTATTTGCCATAGTTGCCACGCTTGGCGAGCGGGTTGGCAACCGCAGTTTTTTATTGTAATTTGGCTATTATCAGGAAGATGCTGCTGCCCATCTCCTGCCTGTTTCCCTTTGTCGCCTTTTACGACACCCACGGGAGGATATGGGGTAGTGGATATTCTTGACCGCCACTACACGGCATTTCTACTTTTTTACAGTTTCTTGTATTTTAAAAGCCTCCTTTGAAGATGATTTCAGAATTAAATATTTTGAACAGGTTGAGTGTATAAAATTTCATAATAAGCGAGAAAGAACGTGCGTGGTAGGCCAGGAAGACCAGGGAAGGACTACCCTTGCACAAAATGCCAGCGCGAAATTTTCTTAGAAGTTTGGTTGATAAAGCTCACAGTCCACCTGACGGTAAGCGGAAAGGCCTTTAGACGCTTCTCAATTAAGAATCTAAAGGTACATTGTCACCCTTGAGGACCAAGATATAATGCCTGGTTATCGCTAAAAAAGGTCTCCAATACGAAGCACAGTAGTATTATGTTACGTGTATTATTATTTATCGCAGATATAGAAACTTTTTTATTCAATATAGATTATGAGTGATGTCATAAAGAAAGGAGTGACAAAGAGAAGGAAATAATAAATAAAATAAAAAAGTGATTTGATTAAGTTGCATAAAGATTGTACAAATGTTTAAAAAAAAGGGATCAGCGTTTAGAGAGATTTTTAAATAGGATAACTGTGACAAACAAGCACACAGTCCACCTAATGGAAGTGGTTGCTGTGGCATATTGACATCTGTATCTATTTTCGATTACAAATCCAAATACAGATGCGTTGTCACCCGTGAAGTCTAAGATGGAATGCCTCGTTTCCAGTAAAAAGGGTCTTCGGTTCTCTACACTCACCATACGAAACACAGCAGCGTTGAACTGCTATTTTACACTGGTATTCTGTGAGAGCGTGTTCCTTCCTCGGTCAGGCTTACCTAGACGTCTCACTACCTCACATGCACAAAAACAGAAAGTTAAGAAGTGGAATTTACTGTCGCCAGCGAGTTTTCCGGACCGATACGACTTAGGGACCTTCAAGAAAATAGCCTACTCCTTCATAAAAGTTCGGCAACGCACCTGCAATTCCTCTGGTGTTGCAGATGTTCATGGGTGACGTTGATTACTTACCATCAGGTGAGCCGCATGCTAGTTTGCCTCCTGTTACATATATAAAAGACTAACTTATTTATTATTTATTGAACATACTATAAGATGATAACAATTTTAAATATTTAAATAAGATGTACAAAGGCGTTGTGCTACTTCCAATAAATTAATATCGCTTATAGAGATTTAGGAGTAATATAGGGAAAAAGCTACCATTTCTTCTATAAAAAAACATGCGTGAGTGTCGTGGAACACTCGGTTGGAACGAAGTTTCTTATTATTGATAAACGTATTATATTATTGATTAACAAATACAAATAAATGTATTATCAGCGTCTATAAAAATGAAGCAGGATTTTTTCGTCACTACAAGGGGTAGTGACGAAAAAAATCTTACACTTTTTGTCGCCTAGCTCCCATCCGCCAAACCCGTACCGTCCGATAAGGAACTTCGTTCCAAGAAAAACATGAGTGAGTGTCGTGGAATACTCGGTTGGAACGAAGTTCCTTTCGTAGTATATTGTTATTGATAAACGTATATGATTAATAAATACAAATAAATGAATTACTAGCATCTA